AAAATGCACTAATTCCCCTGAGCTATTTCTACTGTTATAACATTATAGTCTTCATCTTAAAGTTTAGTATTAACTCAGTTGCCTTTACAATCATAAAATCAAAATCTCGCACTGACAAAAATTATATTGGAAGAAAGGTTTCTGCAACTCATACACAAATGTTAGGAGTGCAAGGGGAAATATTTGAAACCAGAGGGATATCAAGTGTAACTTAGCCCCATTTAGGAGGGTGTTCACGTTATTTACTGTTTAATAAATTATGATTATAATAGTCCATTTTTCTTAAAAATGGATTTTTTTAAAACAAATATAATTAACTTAAATTGCAGTATAGCATGCATCCATCAGTTGGAGGTTTCATCACCAAAATAATGAACATACCTTTGGTGATGCAGATTCAACACTCTTAGCCGGAAGAATTTCCATACCAAATCTACTCCAATTGGGGTTTTGCTTTTCTGCTTCTGCCAAAACTTTTTTCTCCAGGTCAAAATCAAATTGAAAGTTGCTGCGTGGTATATCTCCACCATGTGGTAACAAATGAGGCTACACAATTGGCAAAACCACAAATATATCATCAGATTGTTACCATAGAGTCAAGTCAATAGTACAAAGCAGGATCAGCCAAAAATCACATGAGAATGAAATAAAAGCAACATTAATCTCCTAAACATAGGATGTCAACAAACCACATCAGGTTAAGAATTGTCTAGGCAAAAATATTATTATATAATCTTCTGGCCCCAGCTAACAGAGCCATAATATACTAGGTAACAGTCACCTCATAGGGGCTATCTTCAATTTGAAAGCAATAGAAGTGCAACAAGGCTAGCAAAGAGATTAGTATTGCATCTCTAATAACTCCTAAAATTACCATATGAAAATCATTGAAAAAGAATGTTCGTTTGCTTTTAACCAAATTTTACTCAATTTTCACCATATTTATCAATAATTCACAAAAACATCCATGAGCCCAATACTCTATTAAAAAAAAAAAATCAATCAAAATATCACCAAAATGCAATGATGAGTCACACTAAATATGAGGCGTCATCAATCTCCACGGATAGTGCAAAAAGATGGATGAAATAAACAATGAAATTCTGAAAGCAGGAGTACATTATGAATAAGAGGTGTGGCAAATGCAATGGAAGAAGAATTAGAAACAGGAGGAACTTGAAAACAAAAATGTAACGCAAGCAAAGAAAAGTAGCATCCAAGTTCTAAGTTGCACTATAGAAGCGATTCAAGATATGCAAGGGTGATTCACATGCAGGAATATCCAGAAGAAGATGTGCTCTGGAACGAAACAGAATTACAGATTCAATTGAGTTAAATAACTGATTGCCGGGAAAACAAGGGCGACCCCGATGAAATAATGCCCCTTCGAAGAGGCTTACAAAGACAAATATCGAGGAACAAAGCTTCATAGGAATAAGAAACAAAACATAAACTACAAAGTAAACATAACTTTGAGTTTTATCTCCATAATGACTTCATGAATTCATTTCAAATCAAATTTAAGATCGCAACAGGCAAAGTTAATCTTACTGGTGGAGTGATCCTATATTCTGGCTTTAAAGCGACCTTAATGCCCAATCCTGCTGCAAATGCAATAAGAAAAACGCCATGATTTCGATGGAGCAATCAATTTAATCACAGAACGAGACATATCATGTTCCTCGTAATTTGCCAGAGAAATAAAACGATGTTAAACATGAAATTTTTCGCCTACTATGAATCAGGTAATCAAGTTACTTCGGCCCAAAGAAAAGCCCTAACACTCTAGATTCAGTCCAACAATAACTATCGAACCTTACAAGGTTCCAAACGACTAATTCCATATCCTCACAATTGCTTGGCTTAATTTCGGATGAATATAGAGAATTGAAAAATTAAAGCAGAAGGGAGTAGAGAATGGTCTATACACGGAGCGGAGGGGGCAGAACTCTGATGATGCGGTGAGGAACGGGCGACGGGAGAAGGTGCGGCATGACCGTGCTGGCCGACCTTCGGGTACAACGAAGGCCCGTACATCGGGTGGGTGGGAGGCGAAGACGACAAGGATTGACGGAAGATTGGAACTTGTGCGTCGCGAGGTGGACCGGACCTGCTTCTGAGATCGTAGTCCATGAGCTCACGAAAATCGTCGCGGGAACGAAAACCTTAGTGGCAAGAAGCAGCCCCGACCCCGACGCGTGAAGTGTAAGTTGCGATTTGCAAATGCCACGTCTCTACAACTTTCCGCGCTTGTTCCCCCCTTCCTCAAAGGTGGATTCAACCACGGAAGTTGATAAATACTAGAAAAATACATAGGTTATTAGAAATTATTAATTATAGTTACTATATCAAATTCTCTAATAATACATAATCATATGTTTTATTTTTTATATGATTTTATGATTAAATGATATTAAATACGAATATTTTAAAAATAAAACATATAATCATGTGATTGGAGAACCAGGCATAATAAATATAAAGAGCTCCATCTAAATATTCCTCCGGTCCTTAATATAAGACCCATTTAACTAATTTGATTAGATTAAAGAAGTTAGGTAAGTTCGTTAATTATAAGAAAAGTGACATATTTTTCCTAAAATACCATAGTCATCTTTCTTAATACCCCTCCTTTCTCTTATACTTAATTATGGTTGAAGGAGTATCCATAGGGGTAATTCAGAAAAAATTGATAAATATAAGAAATGGGTCTTATATTTGAGGACCAAAACTAACTCAAGAATTGGGTCCTATATTAAGGACCGGAGGAGTAGTTAGTAATCAGTAGGAGAGCGATTTTAGATTTTTTTTCCTAATTCGACAATGGTTTTTCTCAAGGAACTTATGTAAAATTATTTTTTGCCTCTTGTTTTTCTAGAACACCGTGATGTCATAAGTAGTATCAATTCAACTCGGAAAAAAAAAGTAGTATCAAAACTTCCTCACACACTTCTTGAATTGAACCCCTAATCAACTGTCGTACGCGAGTTAAACAGCTTTAACTTAAAAATTTGAGGTTAACGGTGAAGAAAAGAGATTAGGACCTCAATTGAAAAACACTAATCACTAGATCATGATCTAATTGTATTGAGAGGGAAATTGCAGATTTATTTTTTAATTCAATTAAGGATATCCCAGTCCAACTAAGCACACTTATAAAACTAGTGTAAAAATCTTCATGTGAAATATATTATAGATAAATTTTATTTACTTTAGAATAATTTTTTCATTTGTAATTACTAATATATCTTTCTTTATCTGGGAATTACTAATATATATCTTATATTATACATTTTCAATGCATTCTTTTTAGTTCCAATAGTACTTGCTTTGCTTTATTTTCATGTAGATATTTGCAAACCATTAGAATTAAATTTTAATATAGTTTATAATTTATAATTTATTTATTTTTATAATTTAATATTTTAATAATAGTTTTAAAAAGATTTAAATATGAACAGTTAAATATTAATGCAATAGTTAGGAGAAGGAAAAAAAAAGATGATGAGAAAGGAAGAAGAGAAGTTCTAGACAGGATGCTTCCCAATAGGCGTTGGAACAAATGCAATGGCTTTGCCCCCTTGTTTGTTGTTGGCACTGAAATTGTTTTGACTATTTTCATTTTTTAGATCAGAAAACATGCACTGATTATTTTTATTTTGATTACCCCGACACCTTCTGCCTCTAATTTTTAAGTTGCCTCTTCTGTATAGTATATACCATGTGGCCGTCTCGTGTTGTTCCCTTTGGGCGCGTGTGCGAGAGCGGAGATTTATTTTAAGGAAAGTTTTGGTGCTCTTAAGAAACCAATCAACCTTGCTACTCAGCTCCTAATGAACTTATATGATTATATTTGACACCTAACATTTTTATATAAATTATGAGAGAAAATTGTTGATGTCATTATTAAAATTGCCTTGTAAGAAAGCTTCCAACTAGTAATCAAATTCGTCTACATGTTTCATGCATTCATGGTTGATGCAGCTTGAAGCCATGCAATTTCCAGTGTATATTTTCATAAGAGAATCATAATGAAATTAAAAATAATAACAACAAAATAAGTTTAAAGTTGTTATTTTTTATTCTGAAACTTATATATAAACTGTTTAGGTTATTATTAAGACTTTTAAGTAATTTTTTTTTTAGGATCTCATTATAATTTTCCCTAATTTCATCCCGGTTCATTTTTAGGAGGCCACTTTGTCACTAGAATCTCCCTCCCCGGCGCATATAACTTTTCAATCTTTTTAATACCACCACGATATATATCTTCTTAATCAATTGTGTTATAAGAATGAAGAAGAAAGAGGAACAAAGATAACGAAACTCTAATTAATGCATAAATCATTGTATCTTTATTATTAATTTAAAAGACACTTCATTATTTTTGTTCTTCTTGCTTAACAATTAGATTTTCTCATTACAAGATCATGATCAAGAAAGTTTTGGGTACTTGACTATATTTTTCTGGTCTACTTTAATCAGAAACTTCTCATACAACATATGAAACTTAAAATCAAAGGCTGCTGTGTTGGTGATGGTACAAACAGGTGTAGTTTTGTCTAAAGCCATGTCGCTGCATTCTGAGCACCTTTGAAATTCATAGAAATGATTGGTCCTTATGCTTTAACCCTAGCTTTCGGTGGAGTAGCATCATGCATGGAATAAAAAATGGATTATCCCAAGTCAACGCTTTTTGTCTCTTAATAAGAAAGCTCTTTCTACCAAATACTAACGACCTGCAAATTACCCGAGCGTGCAGATTCTCCGTCCTCGTCTCCCCTGTTACTTATTTTGATTACAACCAACATAATATTTTTGAAGAAAACTGATTCCCATCAATGTCAACTACCATTTTGTTCAAAGGTATATATATTAATTTTCTGACTTAAAACCTTATCAGTTAGAATTAGATTATCTGCCATGCCACACCACAGCGTGGCTGTGCCGGTGCACATGGGTCGTCTTGCTTGTAGACAAAGCTCAAAGACAACGCTCGTGAGGTCACCCCTTGTCCTGTTTTTCTAAAACTGCCTTCTGCAGTCTCTGCTTTTCACCTTTGTTGTTATATCTCCATTGTTTTTCCCACTCCCATCAACTTCTCTGAAAAGATTAGAAACTAAAAGAAGCAACTGTACATTGTCCAAGAAAATATCTGCACCCAGCAAGGATCGCTTATATGCAAAGTTCGTGAAGCTTAATTATCCGTATCTGTTTGGTACTATGTATGTTATATATATTGCATGTTGATCTCCATATTATCATATTGTATTATTGTTAGGTTCCTCCTCCACATGCCCCATCCTGTTCGTGCGGCATAAAATACTGTGAGAGACCTTGAGCCTCTAAATGATTGCCAATGGATTCAGTTGTTTCTTTTGCATGTGAAGCTGCCGATTCCGCAAGCATATACCAGCTCATCTTCCTCATCACGACCAATAATCCCATCATTGCAACGAACACCGATTTTGGATTTTCGCCTTCCAACTGCTTCTGAAACACGATAGTCCTGTTTCTGATATGCTTCTGGCCCTACTCGATTTCTTCTTGCAAACCCCAAATCGTTGCTTGTGGGGGACATTGCCGGCTACCTCTGGATCTTGATCTAGCTTCCGTGTTTTGGAATCCACAAGTAAGTATTCCATTTTTTTTTCCCTCTATGATAATACCAAGGATGGTTGTGCTCGTCCGCTTTATACCGATAAAATGCCAACTAAATTGAAGAGCAGACTTTAGTTTCTAAGTTTCTGTGAGCTGAGCTAACAGAGTAGGTGAGTTGAAAATTGGGTTGGTTGATTTGGAATTCAACCATGAGCTGTTTCATTTTGACCCGCAATTTCAGGGATGAATTTCATTTTCATTGAATTAATCTAACAAATCTCACCCAGTTGTCTTTTAGTTCATCTTTGAATAGATATTAATACCATTGTTTAATCCTCCAATCCTCTGTTTTCTCTCCAGCTTAACCACATGAAGAAGCGAGCGGGATCTTGAAGAGTCCTTCGTTCAAGTTCCTTGAACAACGATCTAATCATCTTCATTGAAGCGAGAAAATAGGCAAGGAAATGGACCACTTGATAACTTTGTTAGTAGCCTTCGTCATTGGGGCAACTTTCGTGAGTGTTGGTGCCGAGCCAGTGGAAGATAAAAAAGCGTTGCTTGATTTCTATCGCAATATCGATCAGTCTCATCCTCTCAACTGGGATGAGAATTCTTCTGCATGCAAAAGCTGGAGAGGGGTGTTCTGCAACAAAGAACAATCCAGGGTCATAGCTCTCCATTTACCTGGAGCTGGGTTCAGTGGTCCGATCCCATCTAACACGCTTAGCCGTCTCTCAGAACTTCATACCTTGAGTCTTAGATCCAATAGAATAACGGGTCCTTTTCCTTCTGATTTCTCTGAGCTTAAAAATTTGAGTTACGTTTATCTCCAATTCAACAAGTTTTCCGGCCCATTACCATCGGATTTTTCCGTTTGGAATAATCTTAATGTTATCGATTTATCCAATAATTCTTTTAATGGAGGCATCCCTTCTTCCATTAGAAAATTGACTCATCTCACAACTCTAGTCTTAGCCAACAACTCGCTTTCCGGGGAAATTCCTGACCTCGATATTCCTAGCCTAAAAGTGCTCAATTTAGCGAACAACCACCTTAGTGGGGTTGTGCCTAAATCCCTCGAGAGATTTCCACGTTCAGCTTTTGCTGGTAACAACAATCTTACAAAAGAAAATTCACTTCCTCCTGCTATTCCACTTCAACCACCGAATGCTCCTCCGAAAAAGAAAACCACACTAAGCGAGCCCGCATTATTGGCTATTATCATTGGCGGCTGTGTGCTATTTTTTCTGGTGATTGCAGTTCTCATGCTTATCCGCAGCTATCAGAAAGGAAATGAGGAAGTGCCAGCCGTGAAGTCAAAGAAAAAGGAAGACACTCTGAAAAAAGAAGCATCTGAAACTGAAAGTCAAGACAAGAACAAGATTGTGTTTTTTGAGGGTCGCCATCTTGCCTTTGACCTGGAAGACCTGTTGAGATCATCTGCTGAGGTACTAGGAAAAGGAACCTTCGGAACAACATATAAGGCTGCTCTAGACGATGTAACCACGGTGGTGGTGAAGAGATTGAAAGAAGTAGTGGTCGGAAAACGTGAGTTTGAACAGCAGATGGAGGTGGTGGGGAGGATTAGGCATGATAATGTGGCTCCACTGAGGGCATATTATTATTCCAAGGAAGAAAAACTTATGGTGTATGATCACTTCGAAGAGGGTAGCGTTTCTGCAATGTTGCATGGTACGTTAAGCCTCTTTCTTCCATCATCTTACTTGGAATGGAAACAATTGCTAACTGTAATAATGCTCATGCATCTCCATTATGCAGGTAGAAAAGCGGAAGGCAGGGCTTCTTTAGACTGGGATAGCCGGCTGAGAATTGCCATTGGTGCAGCAAGAGGGATGGCTCACATCCACACAAAACATGCAGGGAAACTAGTACATGGGAACCTAAAAGCCTCAAACGTCTTCTTAAACTCTCAAGGATATGGTTGTGTGTCTGATGCAGGTTTGACCACATTAACAAGCTCAATACCCTTCCCAGCACAGAGAACTGGAGGGTACCGGGCGCCGGAAGTAACAGACATCAGAAAAGCGACCCACGCTGCTGATGTATACAGTTTTGGGGTGCTGGTGCTTGAGCTTCTCACTGGGAAATCACCCATACATGCCACAGGGAGCGAGGAGTTGGTGCATCTGGTTAGGTGGGTGAATTCCGTGGTGAGAGAGGAGTGGACTGCGGAGGTGTTTGATGTTGAGTTGCTGAGATATGCAAATATTGAGGAAGAAATGGTAGAGATGTTGCAGATAGGGATGGCTTGCGCGGTGAGGGTGCCAGAACGGAGACCAAAAATGCAAGATGTTGTGAGAATGCTGGAGGAAGTTCGCAAAGTGAATACTGGAACCCAATCATCCACTGAAGGTTCCACCCCGACCCCACAAGCAATTATTCATGCACCTTCTTCATCTGTTCCCCAACAAGATTCCGTCGTTGTTTAGATGTATGAAAGTTTAATTTCATCTGCAAAGGTGAAAAATGGTTGATTGATGTCCAGTGTCTCTTTATAGTTGGCAAATGGTTGCGTGTTAAAGCAGCCAAATCTAGCTGGAATCATAGTCAAGGAGGTCAGCTGACGTACTCCAGCGACATGAAAGATTCTTTGTATTTCTTCCACTTACCCGGTCTCTTGGCCATTATAAATAGCCCTGTTATTTTTGGAAGAACTGCCCAAGTCGTGACCCTACTAAGGATCAGAGTTCTTGAGATCATTATGGCCTTTTGATTAATGAAATTTGAAGCCATTTAAGAAGATGATGAGAAGCTTACTGCGCAAACTAATTTAATCGTAAATTTCAATGTGGCAACCATTTGGTCCCTTTCAACCGTGAAAAAATAACAAGAATAATATTCATGACCTGTTTATCTTTATGTACTTTTTCTTTTTCGCTCAGCCCATCGCTTACGGATTTGCAAACTAGCAAGCCGCACCTTGGACCAGGCTGTCATTCTCAAATATTATGAGAGATGAGGGAGAGGTAACAGGTCAACAATTTCCATTGATTTGATCATCAATTACAATCGACTTGAGTATTTAAAATCGACAAGCGTCTGCTGAGCTAGCCAATAGGCGATAAAGAGAATTGAAACAGGTAAAATTCACGGGATCCGGGGGCCCATTTTCATTCATCCAGATAAATCCGCCAATCTGGCTTCATGTAAAAATTTTACATCACGTATATATATTTCTTTCATTTTGAAATTTGAGGTATCAGAATTACAGGTAAACCTCAGACAATCAAAAAGAGACGCCAAACTATGCCTGTGAGAACCCTGGTCACACAATTGCCCCACAATCATTAACTGTACGTATCTCCTACTAAGTTTACAGACGTCACAAAAAAAGGCACTGCAACTCACTTCCTCAAAATTCTTGTTTTCACACCCCCTGCAATCAGTAAAGCAAAAATAAGAGAAGCTTCACAAGATGGATGCAGAAATTACGATACACTAAAGAAACCATACCTTCAACTTCCTCAAACTGGATTTCCTTTACAGTGTCTGCCGCAGCATTATACTCAAACCTACAAAGGAATAGCAAAATATCCTTTAGTGATGTTTGATTATACCTTGCAAGTCAATGTGTAAGTACGTAGGTCACTTGTTGTATAATCTGGACAAGGAGTCAAATTTTGCCCAATAATCTGAGTATTTCAGGTTAAAAGTGCCCCAGGGCTCAACTCAAAATAGTCAAATATGCCCAACCACTTAATCTGAACAACCACATAGATAGCATAGCATAGTAGATCACTTGAGCGAGAATGAAATATTAAAGAGGGAATAGATAGGAATTTGAGAACACACAGAACAGAGTAATAGGCATAAATTTCACTTACCTGTTGGAGAAAACCACATCAAGTTGATAATCTGAAGCACTCTTGGTAGCTTCCACTAGCACCGTGACAATTTCAGTCTTTCGAGTACTGGCCATGAATAGATCATACTCTGTTGGAATTACTACTGCAAAAAAGTTATCACGTAGTTCGCTCAGACACATTCTCTCAACAGCTGCAAGGGCTATCCTCCTTTTAAGGGCACCAGTTTCTGGGTCAACAATATAAATGGCAAAACCAGTAATTAAGAGAATACGTTTCTTCATTTTCCCTGAGCCAGTGAACTTCAAAACTTTATCTGCAAACAGAACTTGCTTGTCCCCTGTAAGAAAATGAATGGAGATTAGAATTCCATAACTTGGCAAACCGCACACTACATCTTCCTCTCTCCCAACCTAGTCCCTCTACATCATTTCTCAAAAAATGCACAACATGATGCATGGCTTTCTGTCAAGCCAAGACACAAGAAATTGGGCATTCTCCTTTGACACTGAGGATCAGAACGGACACTGAGTCAGATCCTTTGAGACTTTCCAAACTGCTTTATATTAATCTTGCATCTCATTTGTTTAAAATCCCCGAATTTGGATATTGATTTTTTTCATTTCATCTAATTCTAAAATTAATTTTTAAATTTTTGATTCCGTATAGGTCTCACCTTCCTGCAGATATCATACAATAAAATTGATTAAATTCTAAGAGTTAAGCTTCGATTTTCAAGCAAACCCTTGAAAAACTTCTCATTCAAGAAAAAAAAAAAGAAACCTCCATACTCGAGCATTGAATCATTGACAGTGTTCATCAGAACTGTCAGGAGTTGGAGAACTACATCAACAAAAATATATTTCGCTCTCTAGCACCTCATAACCAATGTTTTCTTTCATACAGAGAATGGTAAATCGACAAAAGGGTAAGAAAAATCAATCTTCCCCTTTTTGATCAGTGATCACAATAGGATGAGGTTGTTCAGCACCATGAAAGATCCTGCGCTCTATTTGCAGGGGGGGAAAAACTCACATTAACGAACACGTTATCTTTTGGTCGGGGGAAAAACACATGATCTAGGTACATGCTTAGATCACAGAAGAATCAATCCACTAACTCAGAGCAAATGTTGATTGGCACTAGTTGCCCATGTCCTTATTGTTGAACAAATCAATTGTCATATTAAATGATCAACTTTCCCAGTTAACATGCCCTCGGTAGAGGAATATCGAAATCCGCCAGATTTCCAGAAGGCTAGTTTCGAAAACGCCGAATTCAGCAATCCACAACTATCAAACGAGTTCTACACAGCCGTAGTACGAGTTGATAAAAATATATGTGTTTAAGGACTAACCTTGTTTCTGCAAAATTTTCATCAAAAAAGGCTGTGAAGGGACATCGATGTAGTCCCCCTTAAAATCTCTGTGAAGAGATGCCTTTCGTCGGACCTTGATGCCCATGAACGGCTCCTGATCTTCGGAAACACTTCCGTTGGAGAAATTCAGGCGCAAATTTCCCTCTTGTTCAAATTCGTCATCGTATCGCACTCGGGAGGAGTCTTCATCCTCGATATCACCGTCTTTGGGGGGATCAGATCTGGAATCTTGAATATGAACCCGTCTCTCTGTCCTGAACCGTTCCATCTAGAGGTGGAGTTTTGGAGCGGTGATGGGACTCGGAGAAGGAGGGAAACGGTGCAGCCTGCGAGGGCTGGGCTGGACCGGACTGGACGATGCCTTTCGGGGTTGGGGGGAGCCAACTTGCAGTTGCTGAGTTGCGTGCGGCGTGACATGGTGGGACCACGTGCTCCTGAGCCGCGTAACCATCTGGTTCCAGCTGGCTTATACGTCAGCGAGCCGCCGTTGTGAGCCACCAGCGTCAAGCTACGGCCAGGCGATTGTTTATTGATTAATATTACTGGGGATCACGACGGTGATCGGAAAATGCATTCAATTGAATTCAGAGAAATAATTCATTTGGAGTGAGTTATCTCTGTCGTCAATAGCGATTTGAGTCCCTTATTATATACTACCTCCGCTTCCAATTACAATTGGCAGAATTTGTTGATTAATTTGAGGAGATTAAATAAATGAGTTAAGTTAGTTATTTGTAATGAATATGTGTTGTCTTTCTCTATATATCCTTGCTAATCACGTGTATTGGCTAAAACTATCACTATTAGAAGGACTTTCTTAAAAAAAAAAGTATAAATATGAGAGACAAAGTAGATTAGAGTTTTATATTTAGGACCAAAATAAAAGTTAGATAATATCTTATATTAACTACAGGAGGTAGTAATATATATTTATATAAAACATTTAAATACTTATATTTTATATTGCTATTACATAAGTTTTTATGTGTGTGTGTGTTGTTGTGCATGGGTTATATACAGTAAGGTAGAAATGGACCTGTCACTCAACTGGTGGAGACAATAGGTTAAAGATTAGTGGATTAGATTGGAGTCAAACTGACATAAATTAAAAAAATTGAAAATTAATTCAAAATTTTTATCATACTATTTAAAAACTAAATACTGATTCAATACTTTGAATTACAAACAAAATAATCATATACTAACAATTTTTTTCCAACCTTTTTTTATAATTTTTTGACAAATTGACATCATATTATGATATTAAAAAATTACCATACAATCATAACAAAATATCAAAATAGATATATAATAACAAAGTATCCCTAAAAAAATCAGGTTAAACCACCCCTCTTTCGTGGGTTCAGCTAGTAAAAGGGTCGAACTCTCTCGCCAAAAGAAGGGGGTTTGATCCTGGGAAGTGTCACTTTGTTGTGGCTCGCTTGTCATGCTCCCGTGTCTGCAGGGATAGGCCTCAGTGGATCAAGCGTTTGGTGCCCTGTCTTTAGATCGTGGATGAGTACAACCCCTTTCTTAAAATTTGTATATCAAAACAACAAAAAAATCGGGTTAAAGCACCAAATCCAAGTTACTCCCGAGTTAATTTGACTCCGATATGCATGCTCAACCAAACTAGTTACTTAGTTGGTTTGCTTGTCTGGATTGATCCTGGTTTGCATGATAAATAATTTTTTTCATGATCATTGCTGGCATATCTAATTTGTGTGATTTAATGATCTACTATTTGGTGCTTATTATTATTATAGATGACACCTCCCACCTTCTCATATAAATTAATAAGATGTGGTTAAGTTATTAAATTTATTTTAAAATAGAAAAATAGACTTACCTATATTTAAAATCATAAGTTATATTTCGATCAATGAATTTGAAAAATTATGTTAAACTTTCAATATGAATAGTCTTTAAAAAATATACTGCTTTCAATTCACTTCTAAATATAAAATTTACTTGATGTTGCAAGATTTTATATTTATAAAGGTAACATTTTTACCTTTATACCTCCCTTGATGATTTGTAACAAACACTACTTGTGTTTTCTAAAAAGTGTATTATAATAGGGATTAAAAGTAGCATAGTATTGGGCCCAAAAAAAAAAAACCTAAAGATAGTATGGTGTGTGTTCCTCCTAAAAATGTCTAATAAAAATTGACATAAAAATATCCAATAAAATTGAAATAACAAATAGATGGCTCCTATACAATGACGACACGTACAAAGTGAAAAAATAGATATCACATGATAAAAGTATAGGATTTTAAATTTACTAAAACAATTGATAATGTTTACAAATACCAAACAAAATCCAATATTTAAACTCCACTACTGTCTGCTGTTATAAATTAATCAACTTCTTTTTTGCTATCGTCAATTAATCAACTTCTAAACTAGGTTTTTCCCCCTAATAATATTAGAATGACCTAAACTCGATATGCTTGTATTCTATTTTTCTCTTGTGATGAGCTATGAGCGGGTGAAAGATTTCACCAAAAAAACAATTAGCCAATGGCAATCCCATCACTAAAAATTTAAAAGTAAAGTCGCCACGCACCAAAACCGACAAACAGCGACAAATGTCGCCGTTTCGGCGGCGACATTTGTCGCCGAAAACCCTTTCGGCGGCGACATTTGTTTGAGACATCGACCACCATAAGCCAATCATTACATAACCGGGAAAAAAAAAGTAAAAGAACTTAAATACAATTTTAAATGTATGAGTTTGTTTAATTATTTTTTTTACCAGAATGAGTTTGTTTAATTATTACCAACATATAGATATATGATTTTCATAAGTAATTTCAATTATGATATGTTCTTATATTATTTTACTCGTATTAAATATTAACCTATCATCAAGAGAAAAATGAAATTAAAAACGGAAATCAGTGATTAAAAAAATAAAAGAAAATTACCTCAGCATTTTGTCTAACGGCCGAGGGAAACAAAAATCAAATGCAACGTTAAAAAACAGCGCGGAAACGCGCGAAATCACGATGGGTCAATGAGGGCGCAAAACGACGCCGTTGAGGAAGGATGAGGACCACCGTTCCTGTTCGGCGGCCCCTTTCGGCACGAGAGGGAAAAAGGAAAGGATTTCGTACAGAAAACGCCAAGTAGGGACCCACTCTTGCGCGGAGGAAATAAATCAATCAAAATAATACAATAAATAACATTAATAATTAATGAGGGAGGCAACAATGCAAATCAATCAGAGAAAGAGAGGGGATCGATTCCGAAGCCGCCCCAGACATTTATAAAAGTCATCTTCCTTCGCCTTCCATTTTCATTTTTCCCATTGTTTCTCTCCTCCTCCTCCTTCTTCCCCACAAATCCGATTCCAAAAGTCCAAAGGAGGATCTCTCGGTTTTCTCTTAGGTAAGATTATATCCCCCTCCCCCAGTACTCTATTCTCCTGATTCTTGTTGCTTCGTGCGTAGATGGGTTTATGTCTGTGTAAGCGTATGCTTCGATCTGAAACGATTTTATATTTTTGTGTAGATTTCGTGATGGCCTCCAAGCGGATCTTGAAGGAACTCAAGGATTTGCAGAAGGATCCTCCCACATCTTGCAGCGCCGGTACTGCATTTCTTAATGCTTCTGGCTCCATGCTTTCTTTTTAATTTTTCGTTCGCGTAATTGTCTGGATTTTTTGGCTCATGCTTCGTTTTCGCTTTTTCCTTTGGAAAAAAATTATTTCTAGTTATATCTGTGGTTGTAATTTAAATTTTGTAATGATGCGGGCATATGTTCTGATTTATTGGGGAGCTGTATGATCCTGAGCTCCTTACATTCTCTCTCGTCGATGGAGCCCTTTCTGTCTGACATTTCTGATGGCAACTGGTTTCGATTGATTCTGCCGACATGGAAATGATGCGTTTAGAATATTTTGGGACTAGCCGCTGATTGTGGAGCCTATAAGTCGCATGGCTCTCCTTATAATGGAGTTTGTATGCTAGGGAGATTACTTGATCTTACAACTGGGTTTATACGTCGCTTGCCGAATAATTAAGCTTGTTAACAACGAATTTTTTGGGAATGTACAGTGTATAGTTGGTTCTATTTTTCTCTTCATAGGTGGGATGTGTCTTTTGTCTTTTATTTGAGGTCTCGTTTGCCTTTCTTAGTAGACCGTGACATGCCTCTCAGCTATTGCTCTGCCTAGTATGCATTTTATTTTCTTACTGGATTCTGCAATTATGAATTTGGATTTTGTACTCATGGCTGAGTAATGTTTTAATTTTTCATATCGCCAGCACAACCATGCAACATTGTCATGATCAAATCAGCCATGTATGTGATATTGGTATTTTTATGCTATTCTTGCATTTGTTACTCTTTTGGGATCTCTGTGCTCCTTGGTTATGGCATGAGGGTGGGGGGGCGATAATCTAACTAAAATCTCTTTTGTAATTGGGTTCTCCTTCTAATCTCTCGCATTTTAGTATTATGACTTATGAGGGGTCTTGAAATTTTAGTGAAAGGGAAATGATTGATTCAGGTGAATTAAGGGGCATATAATTACTTTTTCTGAAATACTATGGGAAGTCGTTACTTGTTACTATGACTTAAACCTAGGACGCTCAAAACGTGCGCAGACTGCCCAAGCTAAGCCAGGTGGCAATAATCATGCATACTCAGTCTATCTGTAGTCAACTAAACCTACTGGAAGTCTGGCTTTCTAACTTGTAAAAGCTAACAGTCTGCTAATCAACTGCATGTGATGTTTTCATTGCCCTGTTTGATGTTGGCAATATGTCACCTATGGTTTGGCTGGCCTTCTTTTTCACGTGTGCTTATATGGTGCGTCTTCATTTATTTGTAACCATTGAAGGTCCTGTTGCTGAAGACATGTTTCATTGGCAAGCAACAATTATGGGCCCTCCAGACAGTCCTTATGCTGGAGGGGTTTTCTTAGTTACAATTCATTTTCCTCCAGATTATCCCTTCAAGCCACCAAAGGTTTGTAATTCATTCACTTATTTATATACTGTTGTATTGCTTTTATCATTCCCTTCTTCACTGTCTTTACATGTTCGCTACTTCTGTTTTACTTCATGATTACATTCTTCTTCATGCATCTAGTTTGTATTTTGCCTCCTGGGCCAGGTATATGAATTTTAAATCTAACTTTTCTGTCATTAGAACACTCATTCCCCAACAAATTAGAATTTAATATTTGGTGTCCGGTTTAAAGAAAAAGCATGGCATTTATGATTGAATCGAAAATTTGAGAAAAATGTTGACTTTTGGATTCTAGTTGCATGCTTTCTTTTAGTTAAAAGTTAAAAATTTTAAGAGGGAATAAACTGTTTCCTTGTAATGTTTTATATTGATCTCTCATTTCCATCTTGCAGGTTGCATTCAGGACGAAGGTATTCCACCCAAATATCAATAGCAATGGAAGCATTTGCCTTGACATACTGAAGGAGCAGTGGAGCCCTGCTCTGACCATTTCGAAGGTTTGTATAGTTTTGTTTCAGATAATGAGGAAAATCTTCATTCCATAGAACACATAAGTTTCCGAAGTAATTTTTCTACCAACTCATTCTGGAATTTTTTTAGTTTATAGTTCCATGTAAGGCGAGTTTACTTGACTTTCCCGTATGGTTCTGATATATACCACTGGAACTAAACGGCTTTCATCGCACTGTACGGGTCAACGAAACAATTTTATTGTGTAGTCGGGGTTTTATGCATCATCAATATAAAGGCCTATTTCGTTTGCGTTTTGGAATTGCAATTAATCATTGGTTTCTTCAGGTGTTACTCTCAATCTGCTCCCTGTTGACGGACCCAAATCCTGATGATCCTTTGGTCCCAGAAATCGCCCACATGTACAAGACAGACCGGAACAAGTATGAGACAACTGCAAGAAGCTGGACTCAGAAATATGCCATGGGCTGAGTGACCTGTGATGATGTGTGTGAGAGAGATCCCCCTCTATTTTTCGGTGGTTAGGCCTAACAGCCTGTGTAATGAATATTTGTTGTCTTCAATCTTGAATTGATTATGGCTCCTCCAGCTAAAATGGTGGGTGGGGCATAACATTTTTTTCTTCTCGTGTATTACAAACGTTACTTCCGACGACACTGATATGGGACCAATGAAAACGCACGACTAAGTTCTCAACCCTGCTATGATCCCATAAAACATCCATGTAACTTTGATGGCTGCGAATTGACTGAATTTGAGGTAATTGTGCAATTACTAAGGGGTTTTTTAAAATAAAATTAATTGTTTTTGGATGGAGAGTTGATGAGTTGGCTTAATAATATTACTTTTCGCATTTCATCGCACTTTTAAGGTTGAAGAGGTTTTTTATTTTTTGGCCCGAGGAAGGTTGAAAAGATTATTGAAGGTAGGGCGAAAATCATATTCGCAGTGGTAGGGTAACTTACCTTCCTTCGTCGGGTCCAAAATTATACATATCTTGTGAAGTCGTACTCGGAGGAAAAAGAAAGGGATTAGGAACTATTCAATCTAGTCTCGCATTTGTGCCAAATTATGTGTTGTATTAATAGAATATAAGTGAAAATACCAAAGGCATGCATCCATTCATGTATATGTACGCATACATGTATATAATAAATATTCTTTGTTTCTTTTTATAAAGTAAATTACAAAATTTGAAGAATATTTAATTTTTTTTCAATATATTCCTTGTAAATGTATGAAATGAGTTGGTACGAATATTGCATTTCTCATTAAAAGTTAACGAATAAAATAGGCATTAAACATGGATAGAAACGGAAAAATGGAAGTAGGTTTAAGACATGAATTAAATTAAATTACATTTATCGGTGTATGAGAGTTAGGTACGCCTCGTTCCTTCCTCAAGTTTGCAATACAAGTCCTGTTCTCCTATGACCCATGTTAACTTGATTCAAAATATAAGTCCAAATAATGTAATATTGATTTTTCTTAAGTACATATTTGGAAAACTACACAAATTCTTTACATGTTTAATGTTATAACTTTCCTTTTTAATTAATATTTTTGGCTCATGCGAGGTGGTTATGCTAATGTTTTTTTTTCCTTCAGCCGAAAACGAGGGTGTACATTTAATTGAATTGAAAGAGTAAGTTTATTTGAAAACTTTTATCTGTTTTTTCTCATAACAAAATGGAATGCGTCTCTTTCTTTTTCTCCTCCTATCATAAGAAAACAAGTTTATTGGCAATTTCACGTTCGCTTTCGCCATGCATGATTCAACCAGTAGCTATTCTATATATTTCTGTTAATTCAATGAATAGAATGATATTTCGATGGCCCAAAAGGAAAAAAGGCACAAAAATCGGCTCTGAGCAATTTGACCACTTCCCTCATAGTATCGTTCTGTCTCCTTTGCTGGTATTGCCAAGATTTTCAATTTCATAGTAACCGTTGTGGCCTGCGAAATCAAACAGCAGAAAAGAAATGACAGAACGAACAAAAACTGCAGCGGAAGAGCAGAGCTCGTCCCTTGTGATGCCTTCTGAGTAAAATGCAATGCTGACTGCATCAATGTAGACTCGGGCCGCGGTAGGCCCTCTAAGATTCATTAGGAATTTCGGCCCATTTTAAAATGGACCAACTGGGCCCATTTCCATATTCTTTTTTGACCTCAAACCATTTCCATGTTGTTGGATGTCAAGAAGTAAGGAAAAGCAGCTTATGAATATTAGCCGCCCAGAGCAATGGTCATTGTTCAGCTGCAATGGAGCCGAGAATGGCCATGTCCAGTCCGGTAGCAGGCCAAGGAGAATATAAGTGAATGCCAAAACCCCAAAAATACAACTATATGTGGCAATGCTGTTGGCAAATATTAACTTTTTCCACTTGTGTTACCATCACGATACCGTTCTCATTGATTAGTTTCAATACTTCCTCTAATTCAAAATACAAGATAAATTTTGTTGGAGAGGTTTTTTTTTTAATAAGATAATATTTACTTTTGTCTAAGCATTTAATAAGTTTTTTTTAATTTTACCCCTAACATATATTCTCTTTCCTCTTTAATTTATTTATTACATCTTTTACTTATTCTCTTCGTTAATAAGGGTATAGCTGGAATAAAAATATATGCATTACATATTTATTGTTTTCAACTGATTTTGATTAATTTCTTGGTAAAAATAAATAGATAAAATTTATCTCATATATTTTGAAGCGGGTGAAGTATTATATAAATGGTGCAACTTAAGACGAAAAACAAGAGGAAAAATATATACAACAGAGGACGGTGTTTCCCCAGTTCCAATTCCCAACTTGCAAGTTTCCTCGTTCTTTGGGAAGTTTATGCAAGACTATGTTTGGCCAGTGGATTAAATTAAGGAGGCAAATGGAGAGGGGGACAAGGACATTAATTGCGAGAGAGAGGGAGAGAGAATGGTTGACGCCTGCTAAGTTCCAGTTGTAATTATTAGGAAAGGGGTAGGGGCCTAAGAAGGCCTTAATAGGCACACTGAGTTGTGGTCAAAGAGTCAAAGTTATCGGCTGCATCTATTCACTCACTTCCCTTCGACAATCCGAGATTGGCATTGCCCAGTAACCCCCTTCAAAGGTTAAATCTTTCTTCACATTTTCTTTTTAGATTCAGAAGATCCATCCCTGAGATTTAGTCTGAATTTTCATGCACATTTCCATTTTGATGAGCTAGCTCTTGTCTCCTTCCCTTCCCATGCTATTCTCTCTCTCTCTCTCTCTATATATATATATATGTTCTCAAATCCTGCTTTCTTCTTGCTATAATCTCACTCACTCTATCAGTGAATCATCCCTTACGGCTAAATTAAGTAAATAAATAAATGTTTGATAGTGTTTCTTAAATGATACGATTCAACAACACAATCAAACAGAACCACAATACTTCCAGAACCTTTTAGAGGGTCACAGCGAAAAATAAGATGGTTAAACTGAAACAATATATTTGAATATTTTAAAAAAGACTACTGGTTCAACGCGAAGCTGAAGCCATTAGAAAACATTCATTCAAAATTTAGCCATGTAGGATAGATCCGTTGGTGAAGTTAGCAGAGAGAGAAAAGGAAATCATATTCAACATTTTTTAAATCACCGAGGACGTCTCAGACTAAGCTTTTGATGGCGCAGAAAAAAAGGAATGAACTTTAGTGATGAAATTGAAACTCCAGCGACCGAACATGGGGAAAAATTTTGCTTTTTATGGCATTTGGACCATGAAACTATAATTTATACGTGTGAAGTTTGTTTATGTGGATTATTTTTTGTTTACCATATTCTTGAATTGTTTCACAACGCGTTCGTTTTCGAAGTGTGTGAGTGTGTGTGAGCTCAGCATTTATGGAGTAACTTAATACTAGAACGTTGATTAAATTCATAAACTTATTGATTCAATAATCAATGTCACGAAACAGTGCTACTATGGAGATCATTCACTATGATCAAATTACACGCAAAACTAAACAGTAATTAATCTATTCGATCGGATGAGTTATTTTATGCTAAAATTCGGTGAACATTTTCTTGGTCATACCTTGAGCATTGCAATAACTCGCGGAATTATAATTATAATCTTGTCATTTGGAAGAAACATATATATACGTCAACTTATTTATACCTTTTATGTCTCCTTGTTGACCTTGAAAGCTAATAACACCAGCTACTGGCCAGCAAACTAACAACAAATCAACGGACAAGAAAGCCTAGGAATGCCAATTTATATGTTTGTGTGTGTGTGTGTGAAGTTATACTAGAAGAAGCCAACCCACAAAGCATTACTTGAAGAGTTAATTAAAAAATTAATAATTAATAATGCATTTAACTATCTAAAAGACAGTGTCGTGACCCATGTCCTGCAGGTACAATATTATTTCTTTTTCACCGATCTGTTGAATATTTCATTAACTTAATCACAACCTTACGTGTCCAACATGCATGCCTATATATAAAAATTGTATTTTTCATAAACAAATATTTAGGCTGGCTTTTCATTAAAAGAAAAAAGAAACAATAAATTAAAAATCTTGCAAATTGGTCGTGCCCACGAGTGGGTTTAAGGGCATGGCCCCTTAAAATCTGGTGTATATTGGGTCGTAAAACCAAAGACCTAATCTCACTCACAAATGTACTTCTGGTCTTGTCTTTTTCTGAGGACAAAACCACACAAAAACCGTACCTGGACACCTAATATATATACCTATAACTAATACTATTAATCACAACACTAAATGAATCTAAACAGTGGCATTTTACATGTCGCCACTTGAAGTCAATGCAGTTTCATTCTGATCTGGACTTAAAGATGATTAATGATTTTTTAATCTTAATGATGATAAGAAGAGAAGAATTAGTGGATTCTCATGCTGCCCACTGAGAGTGTTAATTGAATAATGTTACGCAGAGAATGAATCGTAGCAAGTTAGGAAGAGGAATCAAAAAACATATTATTTTTCATTGTTTTCGGGAGACAGGATATAAAGAAAATCACATGTTTGGCAGTGAGAATAAGGGAGTTTTTAGCTTAATACGCATAGAATACGAATAAAGTTGAGGTCACCTGGGCATGGATTCTCTGCGCATATAAGTACAAATTATTATTAGTGAGCTTTGCTTTTAGAAGACAGATATTTCTTTTCTTGGCGTTGAGCTTTTCATTTACCAAATCTTCCTTATTCTCTGGGTTTAGTCTTTCCTTGGTTTTGGTTTTTCGTTCTTGTTTTCTTGCCCTTTTTACTTCAAAGGAAAAGGGGAAAAAACCGTGAGAGGGTGGTGGCAAACCAGACATTATTCTGTATGTCCGTAACCAAACCCATGTTGGCCAGCTTTATTCTCAAATCATGGGATTAAAGTTTTGAAGATAACAGAAATTTTGGGTATGCATGAATCCCTGCTCTTTTTTTTTTTTTTTGGCCTCCTACTTGCTAATGTTTTTTATTTTTACTAATTTGAAAGTTTCTATAATTGGAAAAAAAAATTTGGAAGATCCAAACTCTCAAATTGTGCATCCTTCCGTTTTGCCCTCTCATTCAGAGAAATTTTGGATTCCCAATGTAAATCAACGCATTAACAATGTAATTGTATGGTTGGTCCAAGGAAAAATATATGAACTTTATGAAATCGTACGCTCTTCCCTCTATAATACTCATCTGGTCCTATTTATAAGACATTTTCAGTATGTTTCATACATACCAAGAAAAACCTTGAGCTTTATTAACTCATTTAAAATTTAATAACTTTTCAACTTTATTCCTATTTAATATACATTATACCTTATGTAAACAAAGCCAACATAACAATAGATGAGGGATAAAATTGTACATTCATACAAAAAAATTCTCTCACTGACCTATAAATATAACAAAAAAACATTCTCTCTCTGCCTTATAAATAGGATCAGAGTAATAATTACTCTCTCCGGTTCATTCTCTTTGTTTTTTAAGACTATTACATTCAGATTCAAAGACATAATAGTGTACAGATATAATACACTTTACCAAATTTACCCTTAACACTATGCTTCTAAAAACATTATTTTACTCCCAAGAGTAAAGGAGGAAAAGTCATTACTTAGAAGCACTTAAATTAATATCAATTTTATATAAATTAATGAAATTAGTTAAAATTCATTATTCTTATATACCTTCTATAAAAGTCATTACTTAGAGGGGTTTCATTAGATAAAAAAATTTTATAGTTAGTTAAGAATGCGTCAAAAACTTAATAATTTAAACAAACTATATTGTAATAATTAACAATGACTGCACAATATAAGTGACTTCCAGTAATGGTATAGTTCAAAATATAAGTCACTTAAAGAGTAATTAATGTTTATTTATTAAATTTGTTCCCACAGTTAATATTTAAGTGTAACTTTTTGTATTTTTCTCTCTCCTTTATAACCCTATTTAATATGGATAAAGTTAAGAAAAAATTAATTTAAGGCAAATTTAATAAGTTAACGTTTTTTTAATTATAATAAATTAGTTAACATGATTTAGATTGTGAGATGTGAATCGAATGGAGCACTATAATGAGAGTAATGAGAGGGAGGGAGTGGTGTCTAGGAATTGACAGTGAGGTAGTATTTTGATATAAAACCCGGTTCGGAACCTCTTCTCTTTCCATCATCTTCCCTTCTTTTTTTTTTTTCCAACCAGTAAATTAATACTTTAACTGTTCAGATTTAAATTTTTTAAAAAATATTTTTATAAATAGTTTATAAAAATTAAAATCTCAACCGTTGAAATATATTAATCTAATGGTTAGAAAAGAAAGAAAAAAGAAGAGAATAACAAAGAAAGATGAAAGGTTTTGAACAGTATAAAACCAAGGATGATGAAAATAATGAAGGTTAAGGGAAATACACGTGGCGGGAGCAACGGCGGCAGCCGGCGCTGAGCAGTTGAGGGTGGGGGAGACAAAACCCCTCTTCAAAGGAACAGTGTAGCGCACTACCTCCTCACTTTACCTCCTAATCCCATCTTCTTTCATTTGTTTAAATTATCTCTCCATCATTTCTCATTGTATCCCATAATTTTCATTTTCTAAATTATATATTAAATTTCATTCAACATACTATATCAGATTTGCCTATTTAATGTTCACCTTATGAATGTCTCGACAATATATATGATCAATGCGGTACTGGTAGGTGACCAATAATAAATCTACGTACACTAATATTTCATAGTGGCATGGTACACCATAATGTACGAGAAATTTCTGTTAAGTTATGTTAAAAACATTGCTTCAACTTTTAAAATCTGTGATATTTCTAAAACATATCACCGATTTTCAATAATTTCAAAAATGTTAAAAATTTACTTTTTGTAACTAAGATTACTGATATAGTATTATAAGCCTCCTGTGGACATATATGTATGTATGTTTGCATGTGCGTGTGTTTGTGAGCGTACAGGGTTAAAATAATGAATAATTTTATGGCAACAAATTTATAATTATAGGTATACTAAGATAGGAACTCAATGAAATTTGTTACAGCCAAATATAAATTTTAATTAAAAGATTTCAATTACATTTATTACAATAAAAAACTATAAGGAGGAAAAATAATTTAACTAGATGTTTTTAAAATATGTTTATATACAAATTACAAGTGCACAGGAAGAATTAAAATGCCTACCTATTAAAATGTGGTAATCAAATATGAAATGTATGCTCATATGCAACTGTGAATAAAAGGAAGGGTCAAATGCCATTTTTACTCTAAAAGTATTTGTGAAATAATGCCGGCAAGAAAAATTTGCGAAGTAACAGTGAGTGTTTGGAATTTCTTTTTAACTCAGTATCATTTACAAAGAGTTTTTTTTTTTTTAAAAAAAGAGCAATGTCGGCCTGATCATATTAGTTTTTAACCTAGTCAAGTTATTATTGGGTATTAAATGTGGACAATTCTCCTAATAAAATTTTAAATACTGATTCACTATGTTGTAAGGAACCAACTCCTTTCATTAGATTTAACTTTTATTGATATTAATTATTAAATGCAGTGCCCGTTTGTGCAAGTTCCTGGAAGCAAATAGAGATTCGATTTTCTTTGTTCACACTCACATGCGTAAATTAAATAGAATCTGAAATTTAGAGTAGTTTTATTACAATAAAATTGAGTTGCATGGAAAAGGCCTTTTTGCCATTTTAATTTCTGGGACCAAACTCTGCGAATAGTCGAACATGGGAGTGAGAACAACTGACACCAACTTTTAATTCTCCCACGTCCTACTCACTAAGTGTTGGAATAAATCTGAACCATGTTAAAAAAAAAGTTCATTTCAGTTTTTGGGGGAAAAAGGAAAGAAATAAAGATCTCTCACGAAACTTTCTTATGCATGAGGCTCTCACTTTTCCACATGAGATTAGTAAATTGAGATCCATGCGTGCTTATGATCAGATAGCATTTATTTTAGTCGAGAATTTTGCACAGACCAGCACGTGATGTGCTTCAACAGCCGTGAATCTTCATTCACAATCCATTCATTTGAAAATATGAATCCTGCCAAACCCCCCTATATTCAACTTAACATGTAGCTATATAGCCTTATCTTTTCTTCTTCATTTTTTTCTTTCCCTAAGTGGTGTTGCAGGTAATGGTCGTTTGTCACCAAAATATAATATATATGCAAAAGATAGGAGAACAAAAAATAAGCTTGACAAGAAATAAAGTTGCATTTAACTGGTGAAAGAAGAACAAAAGATGACTTTAATCGCCCTACCGAAATAAAAAGGAAAAAAATTACTCATGGATGAGAGGATTCTACTTGCTTTAGAATGGAAAGTGATGAAGGAGAATATAAACCAGAAAAGTATAGGAAGGCAAATCTTTCTTTTCATCACAAAGGAGGGAAAGTGGGGGAAAGAGAAGAAAAGAAAATGCCTGCGTAAATATAATGGGTTGCTTTTAAATTACTGCCTTTTCACTTTTTCTTGAGTTTCCTTTTATGGCAATATATTTATTTTAGCATCTTTTGTCAATTTATAAATAGAGGGGTTTAAAACTATTTCTTTTCCAATTTAACTTGTAAAAGCGTTTTCCTTTTCAAATATTTTGATTGCCTTCCCATCCCAAGTACTTAGCAAGAGATTTTAATTAAAGAGGAGGAAGCACGTGCCTTGCTGACTTGCTGACTGAGGTTAATAAGATCAGCATAATCCTACCTACCAAAATGATGATTCTCTATATATATCAACTTTCACTGTTAATTAAGTAATAATAACTTCTATTTATCTTACAAGTTACCCTGGGATATATAAAAGTGGAACCCATCATTTTACTTTTGTCACAAAGACTTTACTACAAACCAAACCAGAATGAAAAGTGGGACCGATTCAAACACATATAATATATATTGAGGGATATGATTAAACAGAAAGAGCCACATCATAATAGCCACAAAGACACACACACGCTTGATCTAATTATAAGGTATCATATTTTCTTGTTTCCTCAAGTGGCCAGTCTTGTGGTTGAAGACTACAAGCACACAGAGAGAGTAGAGACAGAAAGAAAACCAACATCTCTTGCTTGGAAGAGAAGCTTATTATATGAAGCTAGGGACAGTAAAAGATAGAGGAGATAAATACATGATTAATGTTGGGATTAATTATTTTAAGAGTCGCCATCCTGCTGCGAGAGATCGGATCAGACTAGACCTTGTTTTTTGGTTTTTGGTTTTTGGTTGGGGTTACATGGAAAAGCGAGCTGGGTTGTTTGATAATGAAGGTGTAACACAGAGATTAAGACGTCGCACACATGATAATAAAGCTTCCGACTTCTGAACCAAATGACCCTTCTTTTAAGAATAGGTCTGCCTTTCATTTGTTTAATTCTGTGTGTTCCTGG